TTAATTATAAAAGCATTTCTCAATAAAAACTCCACTAATTAGAATAGCAAGGATATATTTGTTGTGTGTGTGGGTGGGGGGGGGGGAGGGGGTAACAAAGTGATTCTTTGTTTTTGTAGAACTTTAAATATTTTGAAACAAATCCATTATGCCAGCTAATAAGTAGCATCATATGGGGTGTGTTTTGGCTAACCATTCCTAGTGTCTCTCAATAACTACTCTATATATCCAAATTTGATTATGGTTTAAGTTGAATGTGACTCTGTGTAAAGAACTCTGAAGTTTGTGGTGATAGACTGGTAGCGAGAAATTGAGCTAGCTTATTAGAGAAAATGACATAAATTGTTCGTGGGAGTAGTTCTAAACTAGTCCTTTTAACTATACATTTAGCATAGTTCTTTAACTAAATAAAAAGTTATCGGCATTAGTCCCTTAATTATACACTTGCCAGTTTTAATATGTCGATTTTAGTCCTTTAAGTAATCAAAATATTAGGTTTGGTTTTTGTCCATTTTAAAAATAGAAATAGCTTAGATTTATACTAACCAAAATCTTTGTGAAATTAAATTTTTAATCCATTTTTAAATTTGTTTCTCTATCATGTCTTTTTTTCTTCAAACTATTCTTACGAAAAGAACAATAACATTCACGATTTAAAATAAAATTAATGAGAAAAGAAGATATTAGTCCTAATTTTGTTCAAGGGAGGATAAAATTAAGCACTTGAATATGCTAATCAGTGTGAATTTTATTTTATTTACTCAATTTTTTTTACGTAAAATAAAATGAATAGAATAATAAAATTGATCTATTTTTTTAAAAAAAATTAGAAGAATTGCAAATCTACTATTTTATAAATTTCAATTTCTGAAAAGTTAAACAAAGTCAGTTCAATGAAGTCGTTGGAGTATAAACTTGAATTTAATGGGTAGTAATTTTTTTTCTTTTTATAATAAAATTTGGCGTATTCGAGTCATTAATAACAATAATATGCTTTATTTTATCCTCTATGGAACAAAATTGTGACTTAAAATTTTTTTCCTCGCGAATTTTATTTTAAATCGTTGAGGTTAAGGTTTGTTTGCATAAGGTTAATTTGAAGAAAAAGTAACATAGAGAGAAACAACATGAAAAGTATCTAAAGGATTTAATTTATCAAGGCATGGACTCGTTGGTATAAACCTAAATTATTTGTATTAAAAATGGACAAAGACCAAGCTTGATAAGTTTCTAAATATTTAAAGGACTAAAATCGATAAGTTTATAGTTAATGGACTAAAATCGGCAAGTGTATAATTAAGGATCAAAACTGACAAATTTTTGAATAGTTAAAGAACTAAATTCATTAATTGTACAATTAAAGGACGTTTTAAACATACTCCTATAGTTAAGAAATTATTTATGTCATTTTGCTTATTAGGCAACAGGGGTAAACAAAATTGAACCAAGTCGTAAATTGGAGAAACAACTCAAACTAGTGGTTTGGTTTTAACTAAAGAAAGTCAACTCGAGACCAAACCAATCTATAATTATATATCACGAGTAAAATTACTCGTGCATTGTGCGAGAATTTAATATCACAAAATTTATAAAATAGTACTTAAACCTACCAGTCATTTATAAAACTAAAATACTAAATTATCTTACATACAAGATAATGTACTAACAAACATTAATATGTAAAGGAAAATGAAATTTATATCATCTTATCATTTATAATAGTGGAGCCAGTTGGTCCCGAGAGGCAAACAAACACATTTTCAAGTTCAAACGAGCCTCAAAGCAGATAAACTAGATTATTACCGATTTTCGTGTGCTATAGACCTTAGTAATGGAGTCAATTAGCCCGAGGGAAAAACAAACGGATTTTCAAGTTCAAACGAACCCCAAAGTAGGTAAAACTAGATTTTACTTATTTTTATTTGTTATAGTCCATGAATTTTTGGTGATCCGGGATTCTGGCTTACTTTGGGCGAAATTTTGATGGATGTCCTTCAAGTCCTTATTAATAGAGCTTGTTGGTCCCGAGAGGCAAACATGCACATTAGCAAATTCAAATGATCTTCAAAGCAGGTAAATTCAGATTTTATCAATTTTCGTGTGCTATGTCCATGATTTTTTTGTCATTTGAGATTCCAATTTGTTTTTGACCAAAATTTTTCATGGACGTCCGCTAAGACCTTAATAATGGAGTCAGTTGATCCCGAGGGGAAAACAGACGCATTTTTAGTTTCAAATGAGCCCCAAAGAAGGTATATCCAGATTTTGCCATATCCATCTGCTATATTCCATGGATTTTTGTTGATCCGAATTTGGCTTGTTTCTTATCAAAATTTTTCATGAATGTCCATTAAGACCTCAGTTAAGGAGCCAGTTGGTCCCAAGGGGCTAACATACACATTTTCAAGTTCAAACGAGTCATAAAGCAAGTAAATTCATATTTTGCCGATTCTCATATGCAGTCCATGAATTTTTGGTGATATGATATTCAGGCTTGTTTCTGATCGAAATTTTTCATAAACCTCTGTTAAGACCTCAGTAATGGACCTGTTGATCTCGAGGGGAAAATGAACGCCTCCATCCACCGGGGAGAATAGTGATGCATCATTAAAGGATTGTTTTTTTTAAAAAAATAATTATTACATCTTGAATTATTGGTTTAAGTCAAAGGGGAAAAATATTTTCTTTGATAAAAAAAAAGTTAGGTGTGAATAGTGATGAATTATGTCTTTTTTTAGAAAATAAAATTATAAAAAAATTGTTAATTGTTGTTTTTGTTTCTGTTTTTTAAATCAGTAAAATAAAGGAATGAATCCGATCCTAAGGAAAAATTACATAAATTAATATATTTTAAAAAATAATAACTGATTTTAGCGATACTTTTTGTTTATTACCATTTATAGCAATGCTTGTTAAATCTGTAATATGTATTAAAAGTGAATTATGTATGTAATATATTTGAATTATAATTGTTTTTTGAAATATATCATGTTTGTTTAGTAAAAGATTGTCACATTGTATTATAAGTGTATTAAAATGTGTAATAGATGTATTATTCATCATTAAAATTTGTATTATATGTGATTATCAAATTGTTTTTTGTAATATGTATTAAACTTGTATTATAAATAAACTAAAAGTGATCAAGTGAAAAAAATATTATTACTATAAATGATAAATATTTTTTTATTATAATATTTTTATGTAAGTTTCCTATATCCTAATATGCCAAATTGGTTATGCTTAAAGAGATGTTTTCGTAAGTGGCTCGGCTCACCTTCGGCCTTCCTTTGGGCCTAGATTATTTTCTCAACCTTGGACATATAGCTCAATCAAGATCATTATTTCAACTTTCAAGTATAATCGAATAGGTTGCATGTTTGAGTTGGTAGATTTTTCAAATATCAAATCAAATTATTTGTGTCAAATTTTTAAATTTATAAGCCAAATCGAACTAGTAAAACTCAGATTTTGAGGGGTTTTCAACCTCGGGTTGATTCAGGTTTTTCAAATATCAAACCAAGTCATTTGTGTCGAGTTTTTAATTTTATAAATTAAACCAAATTAATATACCTCGAATTTTTTTTTCTTGTTTTTGGACTTTATAGGTTAAATATTCATATAAACATATAAGTTACTTGTACTCCAAATATTTCTTTAATCCAATCAAAATACAATTATCTAAAATGCTTCTTAAAATAATGACAAAAAAAGTTATATGAATGAAGACATTAAAATATTTAAAAAATAATAATAATAATAAATTATATAAAATAAAAATTACAAATTAATGAGTCATAATTAAAATGATCATAATTTAAAAATACTAAATCATGCTAAAATAAGTCTAATAAGTATTAAGTACATGATTAATGAAATTCAAAATATTTTAAAGTTATTTTTATGTAATTTTGTCACTTTTAGAGTCTTAAAATAATAATTTGCATATAACTAGTATATTTTACGATTATTAGAAAATCATTTCAAAAGTGTTTATTTCTTACTTAAATATTTTATTAAGTTAGTTTACTTTAAAGTTATGATTATAGTTATGAATAGTTTGGTTTATAACTAAATTAATTAATTTATATTAATTCATCTTCGTCGATTCAATCGGGCTAAATTTGCAATTGAATTGGACATTTTCCTAAATTGCAAAATTACTAGTACCTTTTTTTCCTTTTTTTTGGAAAAATAATGATATATGAATAACTAAATCCTACATAAAATAACATATAGATTTTATCATATAACTAATTCATCTATTATTAATGCATGTGTAACTCTAGCTAGCTACCAAACAATCTCTTAGAGTCATATTTTATTAAGTTTGTTTAGTTCAAAGTCATAGTTGTAGTTTTGGAAAAATTGGTTTATGACTAAATTAATTAATTTATATTAATTCCTCTTAATTCTATCAATTCGACTAAATTTGCAAATGAATTGGACATTTTCCAAAATTGCAAAATTAACCAATTCTTTTGGAGCTAAATTTTGATTTTTGAGACCATATACCGGAAACATTACATGAATCAATACATTTAAATAAATAATTACAGATTTTAGTAATATTTTTTATTTATTACTATTTATAGCAATGTTAAATCTGGAATATGTATTAAAAGTGAATTATTTATGCAATATATATGAATTATAATTATTTTTTGAAATATATTATGTTTGTTTGGTAAAAGTTTGATACATTGTATCATAAGTGTATTAAAATGTGTGATAAATGTATTATCCATAATTAAAACTTGTATTATATGTGAATAATAAATTGTTCTTTATAATATTTATCAAACTTGTATTATAAATGAATTAAAAGTGATCAAGTGAAAAAAAATGTTATTGCTATAAATGATTAATATTTTTTTATTTAGTATATTTATGTCAGTTTCCCAATAAATAGGCCATTACTTCCATCAGCCCAATTCTAATAATCAACCATACCCACCGACCCGGCCCACCATTTTCAGCCCAACCCATTCCAATGTCAACATTCCCCAACGTTCATCAGCAATAGCAGTGTCAAAAATTCACAGCAATTCGAATTTTCCTATCCCAACGTTCATATTTTATCCCCAAATTCAACCTTTGTATTAACCCCTTCTCTCATCGTTCTCAGGGTTAGAAAATTGAAATTAGATAGAAATTAGGAGCTTTTTGACGCTCTTACTTTGTTTGTCCCGTTTCTCGATCGGAGTTTCTTGTGTGGTAGTGAAAAGTTCTTGCTTATCTCGTAGTCTCGTATTGCAGGAGGTATATTTTCTTTGCTTTTTTTTTCCTTTTTTTCTGTTTGATTTGAACGATATGCGCTGTTATATGTAAAATGGTGAATCTTGAAATTTGATGGTTTGTTGTGATCTTGAGTGCACTCTTCATTGTTTGTTCCTAGTCTTGGCTGTTTTTGTTTCATTGTTATAGATTCTTGTGCTTGAATCTGATTTGTGGAAAAGTGTTCCATGTTGAAAGTTATGGTTTCAGGTGAACCTGTTGCCAAAAGGTTATATCCGCCCGTGTTTGGATTTTACTTCAATTTTGTGGAATAGGTTTGTTTGCATGTCAAAAAATTCACTGCTTAGAACACCTTAATTATCTAGTTTAAGAGTGAAACAATATTAAGTGATTGCCCATGTCAGATATGCTTTTCATTAAGCATGTGGTATGTGTTCTTCATATCTTGATAACCTTGCCATATATAATAGTGTGAACTAATGAAACCTACGTGTTAAGGAAGAATCTGTTAGTATTTGGATCTATGTTGTATGACAGTGATAATACTATAAACTAACTTTCTAGTATCCAATGCATCAGACTATGTGAGAAATAGGGTTGTCAAAATTTTGGTTACTGGCTGATTGCGCCCGTGGTCGATCAATCAAGAAAATCACTGGAAGGAAACTTGTCCACGAGCTGCTGACCCCTCTGTGTCATCCCTTTTATAGTTGATCTTCACCATTTGACAATTTCTATGGTGGTCATATGCATATATGAATCTCTACATAATTTTATTTGCAATGAAATATGTCATTAGCTTCAGACTGCACCATCTTCTAGTGTCTAGGCTGAAGAGCATGGACAGTCTACATAGTTCCACGTTATGTATTATCTTTATACATTGGTACATTCATTTTATTTCACTGCAGTGTATGCATTTTCTTTATACTAACACATGGTGATATTTATGTAAATTTTTACTATGTCAATAACTTTTGGAATTACTATTATCTGTGCACGGATATGACTTGTGACGTTCTTCCAGGAATGAGAGATTAAGGTCAGGGAGCAGCAGGAGTCAATAAGAAATCAGAGTAAATTACAGGTAAGATGACTAAACCTTCATATCGTTGAACTAGGAAGGGGACACTCAAATCAACATGCTTGGCACCATAGTTTTATGTTTTCTTTTACATGTCCTAATCTAAAATGATATCCATATGGAACATACCTATATGTTCTAAAAGTTCAAGCAGCTTACATATTTCTACCTGCTGATCATCTAATATATACCATCACTAATGCAAACCTTTCATATTGATATAGTGTCTGTGACAGATAAGTGAATGTCGAGGAAATAGTTCAACACAACCTTTTACAATTTGATGGAATTTGATGGAAGAAAATGACCCTGCAAAGATCTCTTACGTGTAAAAATGAAGATTTATAGGTAGATTTCACATAAAATTGAATTGGAATGAGCCACAAAACCAACTGATCCCTGTATGTCATAATTGTTTCCTGGGTTTATATAACATGATCAAACTAATACAACATTTTTATAGGTCAATTTGAAGCCTTGTGATCTCTTAAATTTTTGTATTAGATCAAAAAGCACGAGGACAAAGATATCTTGTTAATTTTCCTTATTAGACTCTTTATATTTTCAATGAAAGTACTGGTGCTCCGTCAGAAAAAATTTGGACATAAGCCATAATTTCTTGAAATGAAAAGTGTGCCATTTCCCAAAAGAAACTTTTGGCATCCAATTAATGATTATGATGGTATAGTATCCTACCACAATCTCAAACTGCAGTTTTGGTTCATAGAAACAAGTACTTTCACTGAATATGAAAAACTGTGAACGTTGTGTTTTTCCTGATTATTGCTTAAAAAGTGATGGTACAAGAAAAGCATATCATGGTTCTGCGTTCTTTTGAAGTATTCTGACTGGTTTCTACGGTCTAGTTATTTTTTGTTTTATGGAATGCGAAATCTACCCCGAGTCGCTTTCAGGAATAATAAGACCTTCGTTTAGTTAAGGTGTGTCTCTGAGATTTTGATCATAGTCTAGGGATACTTATACATTTTTTCCTTAATACTAGCTAAATCTCTAGCTATAGTCACATAGGCTATCTCTTTAGCTACGTTTTCCTTCGTTTTGCTCTTTTTGTCGAAATTTTGTTATTTCGCTCAATTCACACCCCATAGACTCCTTCAGCCAAAATGATCTTGAATATTTGGGTTGCTTTGGTCTTCCCTTTTCCATGTTTAGTGCACCATTGTATAAATTGTCCCCATGTTCTTGGAATGTCACTATGATGATGGATCCATGTAAACAACCTTTCCCACATCTTTCTTGCAAATTGACATTGTATGATCATGTGCTCAATAGTCTCATTTGTATTCTGACATAAAACATAAGTCGTATTTGCTTTCACTCCCCCATTTAGCTAAACTATCCACTGTTGCTAACTTCCTGTTAAACACGAGCCACATAGTGAAATAAATCTTTGGTCTTGTTGCTGTCAGAACTCAAATCGAGTCGTGAGTGACACCCACACTTACCTATCTAGGTGGCGAACAAACAAATTCAACCTTAAATTATATTATACAAGAATAATGTGAAAGCTCAAAATCTGATTAATACCGTTTTCCAAAATCTGAAAGTCATCACAACAAGGACATCTAATCTCCAATTACTAAGTCTAAGAGTATCAAAGACACCAAAGTAAATGAATAAAATAGTTTATGTCCGAAAACTAAAGACATCATGTCATGAACAAGAGAATCCAACAAGCTCTTGAATGAATAGCTCACCCTGGAACCTGATATGCCGAGACTTGCTAGAGCTGAGGGAAATTCGAATTCATTGGTACACTTGCTGCACTCCATAAAAGGAAAACAAAGAAAAACACAAGTAGGGCTCAGTACGGGGTAACATGTACTAAGTAGGTATCATCGGCCAACCCAAAATAGAAACTAACATACAATAAATAATAGTATGAACTCAACTATAGAACTTATAACAAACAACATGAACAAGTGTCAACAACACTTAAGTATATAATAAGTCAACAGTATCAAGATCATCCATGAGGACTCATGTCTCCAACCAAACCATTTGGGGAATTGAGTTCTTTGAGATTGAATACATTCCGTTAAGTTCAATATGTTTTTCCATTAATATTATCGTGTCGGAACGTGACACTCTGATTCAAGAATACCGTGTCGGAACGTGACACTCCGATTCAAGAATACTGTGTCGGGACGTGACACTCTAATCCAAGAATATCGTGTCGGAATGTGACACTCCGATCCAATTATACTATTAATTTATAATTATTATCACCACTTTCAATTCATTGATAATATATAATCAAGCCTTCTTTGTTCAAGGCATCACTTCGATAAAGAGGGTTCAAGAATATGAATTCCACGCTCTCAGGATATCAGACCAATCACAAAACACACAACCAAGCCACACAAACACACAATCAAGTTCGTAGATAACTTCATTATATCATTCTGTGCAATTAAATCACTATTGAGAGTTTACTATCAGATAACATAAACCATAACCTACCTCCACCGAAGAACCGAAATCAATCAAGCTACTTCTCCAATACTTTTCCTTTCCTCAATGCCTCCAAACCTTTCCAATCTATAAAATATGTATGCATTATTTGTAAATTAACGAGTCTATAAACACCCACATTACTATATGTTTATCCTAGACCCAACAACTCACCCAACGCTATAACTAATTTCCTAATGTTTAAGCCTAAAGGTAAATCTAAATTCCTTCAATTAGCATAATTTAATGGCATTTAAATATTACGCCTAATATGTAATGATTTATACTAACATATTAAAACTTAAATCATAATATGATGATAAAAATAATAATAATTAATATCATCTTTATCTACTCCGAACAGAAGGGCAAAACCCGTATGGCCGAACTAATATGTTGTTTTTCTTAATTTTAAAAGTTTGTCCCCCCCAAAAAAAAAAAAATTTCATACAGTAACAATATATAAATCTTTCCAATTTCTTATCTATTCAAGTTATAATAATAATTATAATAAAAAACCTAATACATATTCTCGCCTGACCTTCACTATACATAGAATAATATTGAAATTTTTGAAATTCTTACCTGAAGGAGCAATGCTTTCTGATATTGTAGGTAGGGTTCCTCGCCTAACCCTTGTTTCCTTTTTACATAAAATTTACTCTTAATTATCATATAAGATAATTATAAAAGTGCAAACTATTAATTATAATGTTATTTTCTTTAACCACCAACTTAATAAATTATTAAAAGTATCCCATTAATTCTATAATTGTGGTTATGAATAGTCCAAAATATTCATTTAGAATCTATGGGAAAGTATTTTATGAAATACAAAGCTCTAATGAGTTGTTACAGCTGCATTCTTGAACGTGAGACATCTCCACTCAGGCCTTTGCTGCTCCCCCATCATGTACAGATAAATTTGCCTCATCATGCTCCCTTTCTTGTACCTCATAAGTTGAGTTTGATCAATTATATGTTTGGCACTCCTGATCATCCAGCTAGCTTGTTTGAACTCTGGCCCTCTATATAGTATGTATGTATCCATCTGATCCAAAATTTGTCCTCTTTATTTGCTAGATCCCAGCATAAGTTTGCAACTGTTGCTTTGTTCCAGATTTGCATATTAATCAATCCCATGCCTCTTGCAGATTTAGGACAAAACACTCTCTCCCAAGCATCTAGTGCCTTTTTCCAAAAATAGCTTCTACAAAGTCCCTCAATCAGTTTGATTATCTTTGCAGGAATAATGAAAAGTTGTGCCCAAAAATATGATTGAACTCCAAACAACACAGTCTGTACCAGTTGTGTTCTACCTGCATATGACAAATTCCTAGTTGTCCATGAGTTGATCATCCTGGCCATGATTTTGTCAATGAGAGGGTACCATTGTATTATTGTCATTTTCTTAGTAGAGAGAGAGGCATCCCCAAGTACTTAAAAGGCCAATCTGCTGTATGATTTGTTGCCTCACCTCTAGATGAACTCCCCCAAAATAAATGGAACTTTTGTTTAGATTGGCTTGCAGTCTTGATGCTTGTGAGAACCTTAGGATGGCCTTGATGGAATTTAGGTCTCCTCTAGAAAAAATGAGCAAGTCATCTACAAAGCATAAGCGATGAACAATTCACGGAGTGTCTTGTCAAAACTTTTACACATGACGACCCAGAAATTGGATTTACAAACTTGTATGGCGATGAGAAGCTATCTGAGTCATTCGGGACGAATGATACTACTGATCATTATGTCCTCACTCACTCTGTTAAAGAAAAAGAAAGAGAGTGGTAAGTACTTGATCAGCAGGGCAATCGGAGAGAATTTGGCGGAGCTAAAGGAGTTTAAGATAAGAAAGGATTACAGATTGGCATTAAGAAAAGATGAAGACAATCATGTAAGTCTGGACTATGAAAGAATATAGCCTTGCTGAAAGTACACGAAATGACTTGAGACGAACTAGTGAATTTGTAGCTGATGGCGAATTGGTTCTGTGGCCAATTTTTTTGGTCACAATATCAAGTAACTGTGAATTCCTTCGCTCAAGTTCCATCTGATGACATGAAAGAATCCCAATTGAAAAAGAATGCTTTCTGTTAGTAACTCGCAAATGTGACTGCCTGCTGCAGAAGGAGAATGCTCTGATTTCGTGGTGAATGTAAACAGCAGTGAGCAAATGAAGTCTTATGAGTGAGGTGCTCAACTGTTGCTCAAACTTACAATCACCAAGTCCATCTCCTTTTTTGTGATAACAGTGTGTTAAAGATGCTTCTCAATCTTATTCAATTCATAACGTAGATGCATCAATATATACATGAGTATATTTTATACAACTCCAAAGTAGTGACTGTTAAGGACTCCTAATATAAAACCAATTATACGACAATACAAATAGACTTTCACTTAAACTCCTACGTGACATTATCCTTACACACTGGTGTCCGATCCGAACCAGCTTACATTGACTATTCTATTAGGTAACTACTACCTCCCCACCAACACAATTATTATTTCTGCTAGGATTTGAACTGAAATTTGCACCAATAACTAACAAGGCTTCTTCAAAAATCAAGTTGTTCAACTTAAAAAAAAAACAATATATACTTGTGCCAAAGACAAATTTTAAAGTTGTGATGAACTTTAGAAATAGAACAAAAGAAGAGATGGTACTGAAATGAAGATCGAATCTTGTATAACATTTTTGTAAGCTGTTTAGTGAATAAAATGAGTTACTTTCTTGGGACTTTAATACAAGAGAAGACCCACCGTACGTGGATGTTGCTGTTAGAGTATATATTTATAGGCAGCGGAAGCATAATTTAGGATCACGATTTACATATTAACATGATAACATAAATTCACAAAACTTTAACCTTTTAAAGCTTTCATACAACTAATTCAAAAGCAAGGAATTCAGAGCTCTGATCTTTCGAAGAATTCTCCGTTAGAGAGGAAGGGGAAGAGGGCTAAAAATCATAGGCATTATAAGCATTGGGTGATCGTGTCTATGTCTTGGCAAGAGGAAATCTTAATTTTGTCGCTGAAGAAAGATAGGTGGAATTACATGAACTTGTATAGACTTAAACTCTGCAGATCATAAT